CTCTCAAGACCAACCGCTCCATATCTTCCCCGGTACAGAGGTCAGGCTGAAACACTAAAGTGTTTCCACCATTTTGGCTGGAAAGCAATTCAATAAATAGAGGCTAAGTAGAAAACAAAAGAAACAGCCACAACTAAAACAATAATAAATTTCAAAAAGCCATTTAAATGTAAGCTTCATTGAAAGAACATATACCAGTATACATACATAGGCAACATCAAATGTTTTGTTAAAAAACAGGCTGAGAAGAAACTCTGATATCTAAAACTTCTAGTGATATGAATGGTCAGATTCAAAGAACTGGGTGCAGAAGAAAAGGCAGGATGTCTGAAAGTGAGGCTGTGGCAGTCCAATTGGTTGTATTTGTCTTCTCCAAAAGACTACTTGCAGTTTGACAAATGAAACTTAATGTCTATATTCTTCATAACTAAGGCCAGTTGGAATTACAATTTTTCAGACGGCTACCAGGAAAAATCAGTGATTTTAAAACATAACTTAGTTCTCATTTCCTTAAATGTCCTCAAGAGGCTGTAACTTCAATGAAAACAAAGCTGTTCCCCAAAAATGAACTAGTATGATATTGTCTCCATATGGAACACATGTCCCATTTATACAAAACACAACAGAAATGCAGTGTTAGCTTCACAGCCTGAATACTGTTATTATTTTATATTCTCTGCCCAATTCTTTGCCCAGTATTCTGAACTAAGGAGTCACCTTTATTTTGTTGTGCATGTAGACATTAAACTTATGAGCTACAGAGGCTTCTTACTTAATAACCTATGTTTCACTATAATGCACATGCACACAGACCCAGTTGTGAGTTAAGGAAATTTATCACCTCACCTGTCATATTACAGTATACAAGAAACGGTCCCAAGGGGCCACTTCCATCTGAATCAATATTGTAAAAACCAGAAGTGTTCCCTCTGTGCTTATAGGCTTCACATGATTGCTCATAGATGGCTGTAAAAGAACACATTCCATCACAACTGTAATGGCATAATTTTACATTTTATTCAGGGAATTTAAAAAAAAAAAGTGCATGGAGCCTGTCAATGGGGAAAAGATGTTATGTGTGTTCACTGCTAAAAAATACAGAAGCAATCACATAATCAAAACTATACTTTAATTTGAATTTGTAAAGCACATTTGGTTTCATTTATTGGGAAGACCACAAGGGACATTTTCAAGGATTTTCATCCATCTTTCAAGCTGGAAACTTCAGGATGAAAACTGTGAAATTTGGGTGAGTAAATGTTTGTAAAAACTACCAAGTAATGTGAATGCCAAGTGTATTACTTAGACCCTGGTAATCAGATTTTGAGGAAACAAACACTACCTCCCTCAGCCAGATTGTTGTTGTTGTTGTTGTTACATAGGACAGAAGATAGGCAGTGTTTCTAGTGTTTCTAGGTGTTCTGATTTTTTCCTTGCATTTTTTGGCTTTCACACCAAAGGGCAAATGACTTGTTAGAGACGGCATAAAAGAACTAAATAAGCAAAGACAACACGACAGCTCCTTGGTCCCATGTCATGTATACTTTATATCAGTCAATGGCTAAAGAAAAGTCTGTGATCATTTCTTTATGACCAAAAACCTGAGAAGCAGGACTTATGAGTCCACCTCTGTAATAAACAGACAGGAACCACTGATGATAATGCGACAGTTCGACCACATTAGCATAACTTCTCTAACCATTATATTGCTATCGAGCAGTCATACTGTTCTGGTTTTTCTTTTCAAAAATTAAACTGTGTGCTCTATTAGTTATTATCAAAACTTGAAAACAAACTGCCAAAAAGAAAGAGCCATTAGATTCAGAAGAAAAGTTGCTAGTGTTATACAAATAAAAACATAACTTGATAATAATTATTAACAGTCTAGAAGATTTTGTTTTATATAAACTCAGTTTATTTAGAATGTTTTAAAAAGCTATGAAGTACTACTACAGTAATCCAAAGGAGGTGCTGTTTTTTAAAGAGAAGTTAGTTTTTGGATCTCTGTATTTTTTGCCTGATGGTTACTGACATTATATGGCAACACCTATAAAAAAGATAATAAATTCATGCAGATTGTTTACTCTATGAAATATTCAGAATGCAGAATTTATGTAATTTTCAAATGGAATTTTATGGTTTCTTAGAGTAAATAGTCAATTGAATTTAAACAATTATTTATTAATATTTTCATGAATATGATATTTTGATTACTGATATTTTGTGATCAGTAACTTATTTCTATGTTTATAACAAAAAGATTTTTTCCTTGAGAATTCAAAAGGCATTCTTTTCCTTTTGAAATTACATAGAAGTGTGATAACATGGCTAAAAGTTATCCTAGGTTATTGATTTGAAATCATTATTAAAATCAGTAAAACCAAATACTAAGGATCTTCCATTTTGTATCCATAGATACAGCACTTTATTAATCATAAACAAACATCACAGAAGGATTTTATATGTATTTTTGACAATGAATAAGAATTCAACAACTTTTCTCATATTATTACTTTTCTCATGGAGTTCAAACCATGGCCTCCATCTGTCCTCATAGACATCATCAATTGGTTCAAATATTATTTTCCAAATTACATTGAATCAAATCACCTTCATCTTCACTTTGGGCTTATCATAGTTTTATATTATGCACTGTGGTATATAAAAGCATGTGTATTATTGGCATCCTTTCTTTGTGACAGAAGTTTTCTTAAAATTATTATGTATGCCACTGTGTTCTTTACAATTAAAGCATTACAGGAAAATCGTCACTGTTGTTGACTCTGTATAGGTGAGATTTAATAGGTAGTCTTCTAAAATCAGTGATTTCTCAAAAAATCTCATGTGTGTAGACATGCTTTCTTTTCATAAAATCTACCAACAAGGATGGTATAGATTTTACAAGGAAAATTTATAAGGAAAGAATTATTTATCTGATCATTGGGGCAGTCTCTGTAATTTTTAAAATTATCTGTAAAGCTTCATAAGGATTTCTAGTTATTAGAAACATATAATGAAGTCCACAGTAATGATTTATTCTGCTTCCCAGAACATGCTTAAAGGAGTACAAATGTAGAGCATGTCCTGTGAAATTAGTTAAGTTAGTTTCAGTTAGCTTTTTTTAAATTTCTCCTAATCTGCTTCCTGATTCAGCAAGCTACATAAACGTGTTTAGGACTTAGCATGTGATTACTTTTGCACATGAATGTAATCCCTTTTTGTCAGAAAAAGATAATATTAACACTGGTGATGAACAAACATGAACTAAACACATTTTTGAATGATATTCTGCTTCAGAAAGTGGAATTATATGGATGGAAGAGGATATTACTGACCATCTAATGTAAATTATGAAAAATGTGAAACAGAAACAGATAAACATTAGAATTTTAAATGAGTGTTTGCTGCTACATATTTTGAAAACTCAAGGCCTTTCCTTGAACCACTTAAGAATATTTACAGGACTGAAAATTTTTCTAATATGAATGATCAATACAAATGAATATTTTAGTGCTTAAAAAATTCAATCAGAATAAAAGCATAGTCAGAAAAAAATTTAGACTTACGATAGTGGCAAGTGGCTCCCTTGTAACCAGTGTTGGTACAGTTGCAATAAAAGCTGTTCCAGGACTGTGAACATTCACCACCATGTTCACAGTAATTAGGTAAACACCTAAAATGAAAAACAAAGAGCATTTTCTCTCTCTTTTCTGTTCATTTATATGTCACTTGTACTTATCAAGGGATGTAAAATCATGGAAAAGTAGTACGATAACATGAAGAAAGTTTTCAAGGTCTTTGGGGAAGATATCTGTATAATTACTAGAAAATTAACTTCATCTTCCCTGCTATTCTTATTGACTATAATAAATATGTTAATTACACAATAAGCCTGTGAGAACAAAAATAAAGTGTAAGATGCATAACTGTTACTTATTACCATTCAACTCTCTGCAATTCAGTACAGATTGATAAATAAGTTAAAGATTTACATGCTGATAATTCATGGGAAAGTTTTGCAACTAAAGGGGTTTCTTCAACAAGGTGTGTCACAACAAAGCAGCATCACAATGGATTTCTTTCTATTATTCTAAAAATAATAGATTTAAAAAAAAATCAAGTAACAAATAAAACTGACCATAGTACCTGAGAACTATTTCTGATTCTAAAATCATGGTTACTTCCCATTCTTGAAAGACTAAAATATTCAGTATGTCAGTTCCATCACAAGAGATAACTACAAGTAAAGCCAGTTTTCATTCTGGTGATATGAGCAGAAACCTGAGGAATGTTGTTGTCTTTCTTCTGGTTTTATAATTGATGACTGCAAAGAAAATTTAACTGTAACTGCTTAATGGTTAAGACCACAGCACTATACCTAAGTGTGAAATATTGCATGAGAGGAACAAAAAAATTATTTTTTTTTATAAACATAACTGCAAATATAGTGAAATTGAGTGGCACACTTTAACCAATTATTTACTGGCTTTTCACCTCAGAAATTAGATAACATTCTAATTTGCAGTAAATGTGTGTGTATAAAAATGCACATGTTATACAGCTCAGAAAATATAAAAAGGCTTTATTGTTGGCAGTAAGCACAGAAAAAAATAAAACAGGCCAACTAATATTCACGAGATCTTAAAATACCTTTTAATTCATTCAAGAAGTCTTAGGAGGGTACTTAGATAGGATTGTAAAAGTCCAGCAGATCACACATCTGACCAATGAGTAATTCAGGGCCTTTGTACATTCACTCCTCCTGACTCTCAAAGAATTGTATTTTCCTTACATGTTTATAAACAAAGGTAAGCAGAATTTTTCAGACAAGGGTCATGTGGTACAGAATATCTCTTTGGCCAGCCTGGGTCAGCTGTCCTGGCTGTGTCCCCTCACAGCTTCCTGTGAACCTCCAGCCTTCTTGCTAGAAGGCCAGCACGAGAAGCTGGACTGTCCTTGACTACTTCGCAGCAACTCAAAACATCAGCACCTTATCAACAGTTTCTCATCCCAAATCCAAAACATAGCCTCACGCTAGCTTCTGTGAAGAAAGTTAACTCTAGTCTGGCTGAAACCAGGACAAGCAGGTAAAGTGTAGGTAAAGTAAGTAAAGTGATATAGGTCACCTATTTTCCAGGAAATAAGTGACATTTTTGCCAGTGAAAGAGCTGATCTTTTATGTATTATCTCACTTATGGAATGTACTTCTAAGACAAGGCTGTAGATGATATATGTCTCAGTAAGCTCTGGTTTGGAACTGTAAGCACTGGGCTTACAATTACTTTGATAATAAATACCTTATTTGAAGTAATTGTATAAATATGAATGATAATTCTTAGCATAAATGCTTAATTTTGCTTTCTATGTATATGACTAGTCATCAGTTATTATAAATATACATCTTACATAACTGTCATTCAGGACTTTCAGTGCATCCTCTGACAGCTATTCTACTTGCATGTATTTCAGTCATAGTTTTTCTTGTTTTATTCCTTTTTGATAAAGACATAATTATCCTAAAATTGCAAGTGATTTACATGGTCTTTACTTGTATTGACTTCCTGTCCATATTAATTAATCTTCCTAATAGTGTTCGCAAGATGAAGAGCTTTGATGAAATTGATGGCGCTTGAACCAACTTTAATAGAAGTGAAAACAATTTGGAGTATAATTTAAACCTTTTAACATAAAATTTTACATCTTCCCTCTGTTTCAGAATGTAAAATAGAACATAGCCACTAGATACATCAAAGTGAAGCTATAATTACATTATATGCTATGACCTTATCCAAAGCAAGATTTAGAAAAGTGCTTTCTCTGAGAAAGCTAATCTTTTAACAAAAATACTTGTAATATTAAAAAAATATTTCTAATATTTCATCTGCAAAAGATAATTTTTGTATCCATCACCATGTCTACTTAAAACAGAAAAAAACAGCTGATTAAGCATTTGCCACGTATTACTTGATAATACACTTTTAAGTGTATGACATCAGAAAATGATATATGAATTAAAACCAGAACAGTAGGCTAATAATGATCATAAGCTAATACTCAAAGGAGAACATTGATCCAGAACATGAATATACTTTTGATAAAGAAGGAAAAAATAAGAACTTCATATGCCAATTATCTGCTAAATACATTTTTGTGCATTATCTGCTTATCATGTTTGCAAACTATGGCTAAAATATATTTTGAAAAGAATAACTAATTGCTGCAACTTTCAGTATTTTTCTTTCTTCAGTCTTCAATTAGGGAAAAAAAAAAGAGAGAGAAATATTTGAAAACTATCCCACAGCCAATGTCTTATTTTTTTACATATAAAACCATTTATTCTGTTTTTTGTACAACACACTGCTGCCAGGGCACCAGAGGCAATATCTCTTGGTAGACAATTGTATGTTTCTGTGTGGGGCTTGATGCATTTACGACAGATTCATCTGGTACTCTGTCCTCAGAGACTAAATGTGCTAACTTTGTAAGGTATTTTGAATGACACTGTGTCCTCTAAAGTTATTTTGTTAATATTTTATGTATAATTAGTAGTTATTAAACCAATATATATTGATAAAGGAGCTCAGAGATAGATTTTAATGTGACATATGTGAAGGGAATTATTTGCATGCCCAAGAGGTATATGAGCAATGGAACAATATAAGGATACTATACAGTGAAAAGCTAAATGAAGGAGCATGGGAAAGGCAAAGACTGGAAAGACTCATAAAAATTTAGGCACAGGAGGAGGAACTGGAAGGTTTATGGAACTGAGAAAATAGAAAATAGGAAAATGGTATGGGATTTTTTTGTTTAAAAAGAAGAAGAGGTGAATAAATTATATCCCAATGAATAAATGAATGAGTTACCAACCATCTGTCAATCTGACAAAATAAAGAATACTTTATATATGTTAAATATATACATATGATAAAGAATGGACTTAACAGAATCATTTTCAGGTTATGTACTATTGCATACAAATACAGATCATTTTGCTAACTGTGATTTTTATTTGTGTTCATGCACTTTAAATGTGTAAAATTATTACAACTAGTGGTCTATTGTTTCTACTACAGAAACCATCAATAAATCCAGAACATGTGTCATGCTTCATTATTTGGAATTGGAGATGCAAAGACTCCCATTAAGACTCCATGACAAAGAAGCGGCTTGTTTGTTTTCACCTGTAGGGGTGATATCTATCATTGGGAGCACAATGGCAGAAATGCTGATTACTTTATCTTAATTCAAAGACAGACAGAAATCATTGTAGGAAGAATATACTTTCTTTGAAATGATATGATGCACAAAATTATACAAGTTACCTCTTAGAAATAGTTTAATACATGTAAGCAATTTTAATGTTGGCAAAGATAAATATATCTTATCTACCGGGATTTATGGTGAGATGTAGAATTAGTTAGATAAAGAGAAACAGTGAGTTTGTTCCAGATAATGAGCTGCAGATATAAAATGGAATTAGACTGTGTGAGGAAACTGGAAAGAAACAGCCCCTGGAGCAAGCTAGCACAAGACCAGGAAGGTTTTTTAAAAATAGTTTATTTTGAAATAAAAGATAATGAGCATAATGAAATTGTTGAAAATGGGTGGATTAATTTTCATTCCTATTTTCATAAGTTAGGAAGACATATGGTAAGCATGCTGAGAGCTGAAAACTAAACATGGCAGAGCTAGTGCAAGAAACACATAATTGTCAAGATATAAGAAGACACAAATTAACATTAGCAAATTTTAGAGAAAAAAAAATGAACCAAACGAAAACCTTTCACAAAGATTTTTTTTTTTACTCCTTTGGTATCATTGATCATGGGAAACCACACATAATTTTGATGAACCATGGGAGTAATAGAAACTAAAAAAAAAAAAAGAATACAATGTCAGAAAGTAATAAAAGCACTTTGAAAAGGCTGTGACTGGGAAGTTTAAGTGGCTTACACAAGTCCATACTGAAAAAAAACAGATGCCAATGGTATTGACATAAAACAAGGGTGGTACCTATCTTAATATGTTATAAAAACTCAGCAAGTCAAACATATGAGGAAGGGTTATATGTAAATATAACCCGTTTGATGCAGAGCTTAAAAGCAACAAAAAAGCAATCAAAAGTGTAAGATCAAGTTCTGAATAAATGGACCTTGTACTCAATAAGAGACAAATGTTATGATGTTTTGGAATACTGTAAATAACGCTGGATTTCTATATACTGAGATTCACATAGTGACTTTATACATATTTATACAGACATATGTCTTTTTAAAAGCCCAAATGTACACACTTAAATACTATGGCTGTTCAAAAGCTGAAAGGAAATGGAATCACTACATATAAAAATGTACCATCTTCCTTTAAAAATTTAGGTAAAACATGGTTGTATTCATGGATGAAAAGAGGGTTCCTAAACCACAGCTCTGAGTTGAGCATTGAAAAATACATGGTAAATCAGAGAAAGAAATTGGCATCAATTATATTATGAGACAATTTGTGGATGGTTTCCACCCATAATCTTGCTGAGATCTCCTTTGATGTGTTTGACTAAAGAATATGCAGATCCACACATTACATTCTTTTGGCCTCACTCTGTACCTGATTCTGTCTCTTTACTACATGCAAAAAAATGAGGCAGTGTAATGGAAGTGGAGTAGGTTCCATTCCAGAGTTGAAAAAACAGCAGTCATGCAGTACTTTAGAACCTGGAAGGAAGTGTGATGAGGTCTATCAGAGAGGAGAAGAAGGAGAAGGGGAAAAACATTTGAAAAGTGAGAAAACGGGTTGAAAGGAGGACGGTGCGAGAAAGCTAAAAAGAAACATAAACGCATCCCAAATACAAACCCCTAGTAAGTTATATGGTATAAGTTATATATGTCATATATGTTATATATACAGATTTGACTGAGGCCAAACTCTGTTTTGTCATACGTCTATCACACTTACTGCCTACTGCAAAGTCAGGATTGACTCAGTAAGGTATAAAGGTATAAATTAGCACAATCAATGATATATATGCAACTCTGTATGTTCTTAAAACATGGTAGATGTAGAAAGATTAGTGAGAATACACATTACAACCTAATTGAAAAGATCCCATTGTAGGCAGATTTTTCAGCCTCCTTTCAGAGGGTTCCTTCTGAAAAGTTTTATGAAAAATCAGGTAAAGAACTAGTATTATTGTTGTCTTTGATTCATAAGACATTGTGAGTTTCTTCAGAATAATAACCTGGATTGACGTACACTGTGTTATCTCTACAAATGGAAAGCAGGTCACAGACATATGTCTGTGTGACTGAACCTGAACCTGGTTCAGTCAAAGAGAGCAATTTTTGAAAGCCTTATAATTGAAATGCCAGACTTTTTTGGATCAAAAGATAACTTTTGAAGACTAGAAATTTAGGGGGTGGAGGACAAATGTTTACAAGCACATTTTTCCCCTGCCTGTTGTTTTATTCTTGATTAAAGCAGTCTTTCCACAGATGCCTGTGACTGCATTCCCCTGAGTCGGCAGCAGAAAACTTCTCCTTCCATTGCCCATTTGTGTGTCTGCTCTCTGTCTCTTCTCAGTAGCTTCTGCTGCTCTGCAACACCCCTTTTGGCTCATCTTTTGCCTTCTCCACACAACTCCAGCAAGGTGTTTCCACCAAGAATTTCCATCTATTTCAGGGAAGGTAAATAATCTTTCCTCCCTGCAGAGGGAGCCACTTCAACAAGTCACTCTCTTAGCTAGTTGCTAATACTATCTATTGCAAGTTATGAGATCAGTTTTGACCATAGCCTAAAAAAGATTGCTCACTCACTGTGATGAATACTATCTACTGTGTTTCTGGATGGATAGAATATAGGAAGCAGAAAGAACATAACATTTCAAAGAGTGAATGGGACTACATGTCACAGGAGGGGGCTTGTGTCTGTAGCTTTACTTGAAAAGAAAGTAAGTTAATTGAAATTTGTCAGAAACATCAAATAATTTTAACCCCAGTTTCTCTAATTTTATTTGCAGTGCATGGAAATCTAATTGCTGTACTACAAATACCGCATTTATTTTAGACTGTTGAATTCTTACAAAAAACCCAGCATGCCATTTTGTAAGGCTTCTGTTCTTTGCCATCGAGTCAGTATTGGAAACAAAACATTCGTATAAATAAATAAATAAATAAATAAATAAATAAATAAATAAATATTATTTTCTTACCTGTCTATAATGCCACATAAATCTATCTGAAGGTCACTGAAATTACCAAAAATATTTTTCTGAACTGAGATCATATCCACTGCTTTGTTACCAATGGAAATGAGTCGCATGCATCCTTTAAAGCCACCAAATGAGGTATTACACTCAGAAGTGTTTCCACTGCTAGGGCAGCCTGAAAGAAGCATAAAACCAGGAGCTGAAAAAAATATTTTATTGAAAAATTTATATATCCCAAAAGTAGATTGAACTTCAATAATCTCCGGATGTTGTAAACTTTGATGGTGGAAGACTAGACAGAAGCTCATCTGATTAGACATGTTGGTGTAACTGTAAAGAAATACTTCTGTGCAGTTATACTGTTTTTAACACATATGCAAAAACAACACTAAAAATTTGAGTAAAGGATAACCCAAGCAGCAGTTACAAAGCAATGAATGGACTCAAGATGTGAACAGATTGACTGACTGACCTTAGTCATAAAATGTTAGGTTACAATACAAGGTGCACGTTATTTGGATAAGTTTTAAATCACAACTGAAGTCAAATAAGACAAAAATTAGTTCCTAAGTACAATTATTTTAATTATCAAGCTGTCCAGAAGGTTCCAGAAAGTACTGATGACAATTTCTTGATGCAGGTCACCAACAACTCAACTAGGAGAGATGTTCTGTTGGACTTGTTACTAATAAACAAGAGAGAGATGGTTGAAAGTGTGAAGGTCAAAGACAGTCTTGGTTGCAGCAAACATGAGGCTGTGGAGTTTATCATCCACAGAGAAGACAGCAAGAAAAAAAAAAAAAAACAGAATTACAACCCTAGACTTCAGAAGAGCTAGTATTGGTTTGTTCAGGACCCATTTTGAGGACTCCATTGGAAATTGACTAGGAGAGCAAAAGGGTTGGATATTTTTTCAATAAAATGCTCTTTGTAACCTAAGTAAAGTCCATAGTGATATCAAAATAGTTAAGTGAGTGTCGCAGAAGGTCTGCAAACACAAACATGGAGCTCCTGAGTGAGTGCAAACACAAAAAGAAAGTATACAAAAGGTGCAAGCAGGGACATGCAATTTGGAGAGGAATACAAAGACATTACCTGCATGTCTAGGAATGCAGTTAGGAAATACAGACCTTAGGTGGAGTTAAAACTATCACAGAAGGTGAAATGCAGCAAAAAGGTTTCTGTAGGTACAACAGTAACAAAAGGAAGGCTAAGGAGATTACAGATGCACTGCTCCATGGAACAGGGGACTTAATGACAAGGGTCTTGGAAAAAATTGGTTTGCGCAAGGCTTTTTTTCTTCAGTCTTCACTGGTAAAACTAATCCTTAGGTTTCCCATGTCCTAGCAGAGTTTGAAGAAGGGAGGCAGTACCCACGATAAAGGAAGAAAGCATCCAAGGGGCACTTGAGAGTGTTGCAGAAGCTGGCTGATGTCATTGCAACAATTGTCACTGTCATTGTGAAACCATTTTAATCCTCAAAAGTTCTTGGCAATTTGGTGAGCTTATTGATGACTGGAAAAAGCAGATTTTATGCTCATCTTCAAGAAAGGCAAGAAGAAGGACACAGGAAACTAGAGGCCAGTCAGCCTTACCGCAGTCCCTGGCAAGTTCATAGAGCAATCTTCTTAGAAGCCATTTCTAAACATGTGAAGGACAAGAAGGTAACTGGGTAACTTTAGCTTCAAGGCTAAGTCATGTCTGACCAAGCTCTTTGTTTTCTTTGCTGAGGTGATGGGCACTGTGGACAAAGGGAGAGCAGTGAGCATTGCATACATTGACTTTAACAAAGACCCTAACAACTTTCCACAGTCTCCCTATCACCAGATTGATGAAATATGTGTGGGATAAGCAGACAATTGATGATGCAGAGTCCAGATGATGATCCGTGAACAGAGAACTTCAGAGATCAGTACTGAGAGCTATGCTGTTTAATGTCTTCATTAATGACCTGGGTGATGGGATAGAGTACACTTTCAGCAACCCTGTGACTGATACTAAATTAGGGTCAGGGGTCAAATGTTGGAGGGCAGGGTTGCAACTCAGAGGGACCTGGGCAGGCTAAAGAAATAAGCTGACAAGAATGTCATGAAGCTCAGTAAGAAGGAGTTTAAGGTCTTTAATCTGAGATGGAACACGTCCGTGGAACTTTCCAAGATCGAGGATAACTGCCCAGATCCATAGAGAAAGGCCTGGGGTCCTGGTAGCCAATAGGTGGACCATGAGCCAGGAATGTGTCCTTGCAACACAGAAGGCCAATGGCATTCTGAGAGGTATTATCAAAACCACAGCCAGTAGATCTGTGGAAGTAGTTCTTCCCTCCATGTGACATTTGTGAGACCACACCTGGAGTGTTATAGTTCTGGGAAAGACATTGCCATCCTGGAGTGAGTCCAGCAGAGGCCTCCAAGATGGTCATGGAACTGAATGCACAGGGTGTGTGAGGAGAGGCTGAGAGAGCAGGGCCTGTTCAGTCTTAAGAATAGAAGATAAAGATATCTGATAAGATGATACAGAGAGGTGGAGCCAGACTTTTTCCAGAAGTGCACAGTGATGACACAAGAGGCAAAGGACAAAAGTAAAAAATGGCAAATTCTGATCAGCTATTAGCAACAAATGTTTTTACCACGAGGTTGTCAATATGAGAACAGTTTACCCAAAAGAGTTATGAGATGCAATGGTGCAAATCACCTAATCAGAGATGTGTCATGGATGGTCATGTAGTAATTCCTATATTTATGGTCTGCTTGTAAGCATGAAATTTGTTTACAACCTATTGTTTCAGGGGAATGGATCTGTGGAGGATGACTTTGTCCACAGTTACTTAGAGTTTTGCATGCATTTTTCAATTTTCTCAGAAATATAAGAATTTTTAGTAAATAGTTTAGTCATGAATTTCTAAGCTACTAAGAGATGAAGCATTAGGCTAGTGTTGAATAATGCATTCAGATGCTGTTTAACATTGTTATTATGTAGTCCATTACCAACAGATTTAGAAGTAACAACCTGCTCAACTATATCAATAATAATATATGTGATTAATGACAAAATTACTTCGTCACAGATAATTGTTGATATTCCTAGGGAAATGAAGATATCCAAATGTAGTTTTTAGGCAAAAGTTATATTCTCCAAACATAGGAAAGTTTTGTCATTGTGGTAAGAAAAAAATAATAATTAAGAGTGTATATAATGTAAAGACAGTACATGAGCATTCACTTAAGGTGAAAACTTGAAGTCGTTCCAGTGGAAGATTCTCACAAAAAATTGAGTTAGTGACACAATAAGTATGCAACAAGAGACACCTTTGTGTATCTGTCTGATTGTCAGCCAGACTATATTCAATTATCAGAGCATGATACCAGAAAACGATGTTTTAAAAAGTGACTAAGGATTTAGGGTGATAATTTATTCTATCCAACAATACAAAATTTTAAGGAAACACAAACTCAGAAACATCATAACAGCACCTGAAAACCAGATCCTTTGAGAGATAGCCAAGCTAGGCAAAGACGACGTAAGGCAAGCCAAATAATTCTTGCCATTTGATTACATACGTCACGAAAAAATGATGTTTAGCTGTGGGATATTGCCAGCGTAAATAAACAAAATTTTTCACCTCCAAAGTAGAAAGCATCTCCTGAATAAATTTGCAGAGGTATGGAGGCATGAGCAGATGCAGTCACATCATTGTCCACTATTACACTGATACGATTTTTTTTGGCAGAGAAGGATATAGAATGCCACTGGCCATTATTTAGTCCAGCACCTGGAATGAAAATAAAAACCAAAATTAAGTATAAATATCCATTATTCATTATACTCCCTGAATGTTACAGACTTTTAAAGGAGGACAGACTGGTAAAGCAATCATAGACGACACAAAAACTCCAAGTGATAATGAAAGGGAAAAAAATGAATAAAGAAGAGAAATATCTTTTGTGAGGACAGAACCTTTGCTATTCCCTTGCTTCACATTTGATAAGGAAAAAATAAAAGTACTTCAGTGAATAAACCATACTGTTATAATATTCTTAATTATCAGTAATACATCCATTTAACGTAGTGACTATGAAAAGTATCCTCCCAATCTAAGGAAGTTACCATTAAGGTATCATTGTGATGGCTGATACAGTACGTTACACATAATACACATTTTTACTGCACTATTATCTTTTAAAATCAAAGGTAGTCATTGTATTACAATCCAGTAAAATAGCAAAATTTTGCAGGTGTTAAAAGATTCAGTAACCATCATGTCAATGTCACAAGACTATTTTTCTTTCACTTCTGCCTTTTATTGGAAATGTATGGGAAAATCTCCTAAGAGTTTAGCCTCTAACACAAATTTACATTACCTCAGGCTGTGGAGGTGTAAGGTGCCACAAAGCAATAAACCTAAAGCCCTGATTCTGGAAAGCACTTATATACATATACTTAAATAAATTTTATACAGGGCTGTATGTAAGTGCATTATTATCTTTAAGAAGTGCCTTGAGTCAATCATGTTCTTGAGTGTTCTTCAGAACAGAGATACTTCTTTCATCAAAAAACAAAGAATACAACCTTTGAATTATGTAAAGCCTTTTCTCAACTGTAGAGTGCCTATGATTTGTGATCTGTGATATCCCCCTTGAATTTTCATGTATTTATATTGTCCTCTCTAGAATGTGTTGTATATTCTGGAAATATAGGCCATTAGTTCAAACAGAAGGAAAAGAAATAAAAATAGAAAGATGAGAATGTTCAAACAGCCAAATTACATCATGACTAGGATCCATATATTGTTAACTACCACAGTCTAAACATAAGATCAGTGTATAGTCAAGTAATAAATCTTAGAATCATATTATAAATTCAGATAAATTATCACCTGGCAAAATCTCTTAAATATTTAATTTAATAGTAGTCTTATATAATTTTTTTATTATTTGTTTCCTTACTTCAACCACTGTGTTTATTAGGGACTGCATAACAAGAAACCTTAAACATTCTGCTTTATTCTCAGCCTCAGTGGAATCATATAAAAGCTATGGCTAACAGATCTTATCTTTGTGTTGTACTTTCAGGAACAATTCACCTTTTTAATATAATGGTACAAAGCACAGGACCACAATCATGGGTTTTCTGAGGACCATTCTAGCCATTAATTATTTTGGTTGCATTCCTCTATGAGAAGTGGCATTTGAGCTTGCGATCAGGAGCAATACGCTTTAAGTCAGAGTAAATAATCAGCATTAAAGCTATCATTAATTTTCTGGGTAAATAGGTGTCTTTTCTACTTCTGTAAAACTTTGTATTAGTGATATTTATATAGATGGACTTTAAAATAAATATTGGAGAAATTATTACACATGATATAAAATGGTATTAATGCTATTACATCTGGCTACCAAAAGGTCACATGTAGAGGGGTCATCTTTTGGTAACAAGGATTTACACAGTCCTACAGGTAACGTGGAGGGAGTGACTAGAGTTTTCCTATATTTTCAACATGTTCAACTGCCGAAGAAGTCCCTTTTTACTGGTGGCAGTTAATAGAACTTACAGCAGCCTTCAGGCTGGTGTATTTTATGTTAGGCATGGCATACTATTAAGCTGAAGATCAAGAACATGCCTTATAGCTTGGCTATTTTAGCTCTAGTTGTATTTTGGCTAGATATGTGTAACAGACATTTAAAAAATAGCGTAGATAAAACATTAGGAATTTATTATTGCTACCTCGCAATATCATGGGCATAGATGAAACACACTGTATTATGAAGTTTCTAGACTTACTGAGTACTATTATTTATCTTTCCTATTTTTTTCTTACTATTTTACAGCAAGAACTCATCAAATATATCAAAAGGTTTTATTAACTTCAAACAAAAGCCAACAAAGAATCACAAACAGATAAAGCATCCTTAGGCTTTTTATGCCTTTGTGAACCTCAGTGAACTATACTCTTCCATCAAATAGATCATAGGTATGCTGAAACAAAGAACGTGAACAATGGATATTTTAAGGCACAGAAAATTAAGTCTGAGAAAGGGTTTTTTTCCCAATTCCCAGTAATATAATCAGTTTTCTTCTGTAAATTATTATAGAATTATCGTTCAATAAGAAACTAAAGTGTAAAATATATATAGTCTGTAACGTTACTTGTCACATTGTGTTTTTAAGATTAGCCACTTCAGAAAATAATTTTTAAAAAAGGAATTATTTCCCTGCTTACTTATGTTACTCTTTCTAGTCCCCATCCCCAGCTACCAAAAGCTCGATCTTCTTTCACCTCTTCTCTAAGATTAAGCAATGAGCTTCTTTATTTATAGATGTACTTCAAGTGAATGATGTTTTCCTCAGTCATATCTCTGCAGTATGCTATCTTTTCCTTTAGGAATCATAGAATCATATAATAGTTTGGTCTGGAAGGGACCTTTAAGTCCCTTTAAGGGATCATCTAGTCCAATCTCCCTGCCATGTGCAGGGACTTCTTCTACTAGATCAGGTTGCTCAAAGACCCATACAACCTGACCTTGACTACTTCCAGGGGTGGGACATCTAAATCTAACCTCTTTCAGTTATAAAAGTGTTACCTCTTGTCCTGTCAGTACAGGTGCTGGGAAAAAAATTCTCTCCATCCTTATTATAGGACCCCTTTTAAGTATTGAAAGGCCACAATAACATCTCCCTAAAGCTTTCTCTTCTCCAGGCTGAACAACCCTGACTTTCTCAGCCTTTCTTCATAGAATGTTCCTGTGTTCTTCATAGCTGATAATTTTGATGGCCCTCCTCTGAGCCCACTCTAGCAGGTCCATGTTTTTCTTGTGTTGGGAACCCCACAGCTGGATGCAGTACTCCAGGTGGGGTTTCACAAGAGCAGAGTAGAGGGGGAGAATCACCTCCCTCAGCCACATGTTGGATGCAGCTGAAGATACAGTTAGCTTTCTGGTATGCAAGCACACATTGCCAGGTCGTATCCAATTTCTCATGAGCATTCCCAGGTCCTGTTCTGCAGGGCTGCTCTCAATCTATTGATCTCCCAGCCTGTGTTGCTACTGAGGATTGCGCTGACCCAGATGCAGAACCTTGCACTTAGCTTTGTTGAACTTTATGAGGTTCACATCAGCTTGCTCCTCAAGCTTGCCAAAGTCCCTCTGAATGACAACCCTTCTGTCTGGTGAATCAGCTGCACCACTCAGCTCGGTGTCATCTATAAACTCACTAAGGATGTACTCAATCCTACTATCTATGTCATTACTGAAGATATTAAATCTAAGAATAAACTTCATAATTTCATTTCAATCGTTGCAAGTATAATTACTTTTAATTCTTAGTTTTGCATCCTGCTTCAGTAACTTCTGGTTCTAGTGGGAAAACCATATTCCAAATATTGCGATATTTGACTGCCAAGGTAGATGAGAGAATGCCCTAACATAAAGAAGGAAATAGAATGAATGACTGAAGTAGAAAAAATTTTTGATCACTGGAAAATCAGTTATATGAATTTTGTACTTTTTGGTTTGATTACTGTAGTTCATCATACTGACCTACTCAATTACTTTGGGATGGATATTTTACCTCCTGTCCACACAGGTTGGTATGATTAGAGATACTAAATGATGTTCATCTGGATCAGGTTAAGACTTCTAAAAAGTCCCTTTCATTAAGTCAGGGGACTGAGGAATGCCATTGTGGAAGCACAAGACATTCATGAGAAAACAGCTCATTTTTGCCCTCGAATTGAGAACATTGATTAAATTCACATTTGCTTGTGTAAAGCCATGGAGTGGTACCATATATAAATGGTGGAGGTCAACGGACTGTTAAAATTTCCATTCCATCTCAAAATCATATTGTCTGGTACTCTATTAGGAGTTTTAAAAATGCTTTACCAGAAACAAGTGATGAAAAAATAACAATTAAAATTTTAGTACACAATAAGATAGCTATTAAACAAGATATCAATTTATTCTCATTAGCAGTACCTCCATAATTTTAATATCTAAGTATTATAGACTTATAAAATATTAAGACTAAAAAAAATGTCTGTGGGAGATCTTGCAACCTAAGGAACACATATATAAAAAGACAATGTATATAGTTTATTAGCAGATCAGTGAGAAACAAAAAAAATAGTTTAGAGGAAGTAATTTATAAATCAGTTTGAAGTATAAACACAAAATGCAATGATTTTTAACAACATAATTAAAAGATACATAGAAATTAAAAGCTGTATAGAAAGACAGGGTCATATGAAGAAGCTGAGTAGTAAGATCTCAAACATTTGTACATGTCGTAATTAAATTTGGTCTCATCATTCATCACAATTAAATTTCTGTTAATTTCTCTTTTTCAGTGTTATTTCTTTGTGAATATTTGTTGACCAGTTTGCAAAAGAGGCTACAAAGGAAAGATATTAAGCAACCATTCTATAAAAGAAGGATACAGCTTAGTACAGCTTAATCACTCATGAATTAACATTTTATTCTCTTTGGTTTTATATGTTTGAAGAAATCTTTAAAAAACACAATAATGAATTTAAGAACTGTGCACAGAGAAATATGCTCTGATTTAATTATCAAATATTGTTTGTGTATGTGAAAGTCAGGTCATAAGTCCTTGCTGGCAGGGGAACAAACCTGTCCAGCCATCCACGAATTAATTACTCAATCTCCAAATGCAGACTTGAATTGCTTCAGTGAGTGAAACAATACAACACTTCAAAAAATCAAGAAGAAGTTCCCCATATGTTTTTGTCTTATAACTTCTTTCTTAGAAGAGAATATTTTTGCAGTAGTTACTGAATTCACAAACACAATTCCTCCTGTTAGACTTTATGAAGAGTCAGCTTAACATAGCACAAGAACATTAAGTTCCGTTTCAACATAGAATGCCAAGGTTTATTTTGAGATGTTTCAACTAACAAGCTATGTATTGTGTTGTAAATTGAAATTTAATAAATTGCTCTATGTGCAAGTGTACAGCTATTAAAAGTTCCACCACCTTCAGCTGGTCTGTTGAAATGATGCTGCATGACAATAGTTTCTTTAACGTATATCACCTAATTGAACTGGAATTAAAATAGCTCTTAAGAAGCCAAATTCATCACTGTTAACTATATACCACTGACATTCTCAGTAGGGAATTGACATTTTCAAATGGTGAGCGTAGGGAAACTTCTTGTCATCAGAATGATACTCTTTATGCATTAATTATTCTAGATTATAACAAATACTAAGGCTGATCCCTGGGTGATATTATTATCACTCACAGAAACAGGATCAAAGTGTTTATGTAAATTTCAATATTATCTGTGTTCATTACTGCCTTAGAGTCTTTTCCTGGATTAAAATAATCAATTGTTTAAAATTTTACTTTTAATCATTATACACCTGTAGAAACATAATGAGCTTCAGAGTTATGTTTACTTTTTTGTTTTTTCTTTTTCTTTTCTTTTTCCCCTCAAAGAAAATTTCATTTTGTATTAGGAATTAAGTAAGGAATCAATCTAAAAGAAACAGGGGCACAGAACTAACATTATGGAGGCGTCGTCTTCAAGTTCTGTGGCTGTTTCTTTGCTCTGCTTGGCTCTGCTTTGCTCTCTTTGTCTGTCTTACACCGCCAAGCACATGATTTGCGAACATTTTAGTTGTGATCCTTATTTTGTGTTTGTACTGATTTTTTTTTTTTTGGTGAAATTTTCTCCTTCTTTTACATAACTTTCTTAATTCTGTGGGGTCTGAAAGAGATTTGGAGACTTTAATTTTTATGATATTTAATATATTATTTTTTAATTTTTATTTCAGTAACTGCTTAGTTTACTTATTGTAATTGTTATTGCTCAAGACAAACTAGCACTAAGCAGCATCATTAAGCTCTCTATATTCTGGCTTGAAATCTCCCCTGAAAGGTGCCTTAGGTTTGGGTCCTATCACTCCAATGAATATACTCTATACAAGATTAAATTCTTCACACATTCAAATCCTTAAATTGTTTTCTAAGTACCAACACAAAACACAGATTTCCTACTTGTTATTCTTCTGTTATTCAGCTTACACATGACATTCTGGAACTAATCTGCCTTCTTTTGCACTGATAATACTCCTGTTTTATACATATGAAATATAAAATATAAGATCCTGTACAGTTAAAAATTAATCTAGAATCAACTGATGTTTTGGATATCATAATTGTGTTTTCTGCAGGCAAATTATCCATTGCTTCTGTGACATATTCCTCCAGCTAGTGGTCTTTGGTCATCTTCTTTGTCCATACAGAAACCACTCCAATTCCATCCTCATTTCCTCATCTTCATATATTCTTTGGAATCCCATTTATCTGTCTAATCTCTCTGTTTTTCCTGTCTGAGAACTCATTCTGGAATGACCATTTTATCCTTCTACAAGAAAGGGGCAAAATTCAATTTGTTTACATAAAAGACGAGAAACTCTGAGGCTTCGGTGATGTATGGAGTGTCAGAGCATAACATACTACTGACAAAGTGCTGCTAGGTGAACGTATTGATATTACTACATGGTGATGTTACTGCCTCTCACCATTTTTTAAAAAGTTGTGGAAGATGAAGATGTTGTCAGCTTTATCCTTCTCTCACATTTCATGAGAGGAGGAGATTCCTGGTTGGGACAGCAGTCTTGCTGTTCTCACATCAAGTGCTAACAGCACTCAGAAAAACTAAGGAACTTTTTTGTGAAAGAGGAAGTCCTCTTACTCCCAAACTCAGTGAAAATGAAAGCTGGGAGCTGCTTCTCAGAATCCAAGTTGGATACCTTCTAACATGTCTGTATCTTCCGATATTTGCTTTATCCCCTTATCCTTTTATATTTGTTTACCAACAGAGAAATGGCTCAGAAGAAGACTAGAGGGTATGTTTTCTGGAAACCTCAGCTCCATCCTGAGGGCTGCTTAGCAGTGCACACTAACAAAAGTAGATGATCTAGTTCTCAATTCAGTGATTAACTATAAAAGTGACCCTTTAGCTCTCAATTATGCAGTGTCCTCAACATCTCAATTTCTTTTTGTTCTTCATATAAACCTTTTTTTTTAAATTATTTTTATTTTGAATGTACTCAGTCTTGCCCCAGCTTTCTGGAACACAACAGGTATTGGGCATCCACTGTCCAAATTCAATGGACCACTCTGTAATTGAGAACTCTAGAAAATAACAAACATAATATTTATAACAATGTATAACTTTAGAGAAAAATTAGTTACTTGATGCCTTGTGAAGTCACTGACAAATGGTGAAAAACATATTAATGGCTTAGCTTGACAGAATATAAAATTAACTTGTTTACACTTCACAACTGAAAAAATTGCTTAGATGTTTCAAATTTCCCAGATTATACACATTAGCTTTATATACTATATATATGTAAAGCTAAGGACTCAACTTTGCAGCCTATATTATGGAAAGTAATTTCTACTCAATCATCAGGAAAAAAACATAGATACATATTTGTGGGAAAAGAAAGTGTTTAGAAACTTTTGGGATTAAAATTCACACAAGCAAAGCATAATTGCACACATACAAGTCGTAAAATGAAGTTAAGAATGTAGGTAGTAATTTAAATGACTTTATATTAACCTATGCTTTTATGTGTGGGAATCTTGGATTTTTTTTTCTTCATTTCTGTTACCTGCTGTGATGTCAGTCAGTGCTTTTCCTGGTTTATGAAGACTGATTTTAACTTTCCCATCACTCAGATATAAGAGGAAACCACCTGAAGCCTGTTGTAGTTTACCAGATAACAGAAGTCCCTCCTTGTTCCAGGTGCGAAACTGGAAACTGATGAATACTTCATCTTCCCCCAATGTGCCTGGCAGTGCCAGGTAACTACTGGAGCTCAGAAATGTAACAGGAACCACCTGTGGCTCTAAACATGAGAAGGACATGTTGCCCTAAAAAGAAATGAAAAAAATTATGGCATTAGGAACATTCAGGGGAACAGTCATGAGAAGTTTTGTATGGAAACTACAGAATTTCAAAACGTTGTGTATACAACCTAATATTTAGAATACTTGAATGTGTTAGTCTAAAAATCAAGGACGAATACATAAGAACTTAATCTGTCTGAGAAATATTTACCTAGTTGTTTAACCAAAACAGACATATCTGTCTGAGCAAAGAGTGGCAAGGATGAGTGAATGAGGTAAGATCTTAAACTACATGGGTGATTTAATGGTTCTTCAGAAGTTAGACAGACCTGCTTTGTTTCTCTTTTGGCTCAACCTCAGGAAGCACTTGGGACTTGACAAGTTTCTGAATGTCAAATAAAATGCCACGGAATGCAAAGTTCAGTACAAACATTTACACGAGTCTAACTGCTTGTATGCAGAGACAAATGTTGAGCTTGGCTACTGATTCTTTAAGGCAGTGTAAAATTTGAAACATTTTCCTGGACCAAGGAGCAGTCTTTCCAAATCGATGCAACTGGAGATGTGCACTGATCCCAATATTTGTTTTCCCAAATCGTCAGAGAAAATTCTGTGTATAAACTCTTGCTACTTACAGATGTGAAACAGATACTTCACTAATCAGAAGGAAACATGTTTTCAGGTGGGCCTATATGGATCAGATCATGAGTTATACTCAGGCACCAAGCCTTTATTTCGTGCTAGGCTGCTTCTGAAATCATTGGTTCTTAGGTACCAAAATAAATGTGTGGATGAGTTCATTGACAAACTCTGAGCTTAACCTACACCTGTGGTTGTACTGAGTGATACAGATAACAAGACTGGAATGGGAATAATGCATTTTTTGCATCTAGTGTCAAAGTTAGTCAATACTTTATGACTCTTGATAGTGATACAACATGCACTTTGATCTAGTGACTTCCTAGTATCATTTGAATTATAACTGATTTGTTCTGTGCAGGTGATTACTAAAAGAATAATATCTTTAGATTTTAAATTACATTTAACTTCTGTTCAACACAGAGATGTTTTAAATATTTGAACATATATAAAACTTTGACCTTATAGTAAAAAGCCAAAAAGTCAACTTAAGAAAAATACTCAGTAGCATGGCAAGACATTAAAGTTTATCTGTTTTCGTTTTCTTCAAGGAAAATATAAAAATAAATAAAAGATCTGTCTTACAAACTCAGCTGTAGAGAAATGAATAGTCAACTGAACTGACCCATAGTGAAAAGGCAGTCATCAGATTAATGAACCTTGTTAAATGTTAAAATCTTACCATCTGCAGATTCCCCCAGACAGCTGCCAGATACTGTATCAGACCAGCGAAGTGTCTATTTAACAAGGATTCTATGGTAACATAGATACTTTCTGGCATACTTACATTATAAAATATCTCCTAAATAGTTTTGAAAGTAGGACAAGTTTAAATTATTTGAGATGAAGATCATGAAATTTCCTATGAAAATAATTTCATAGTTGCCTTTTTGACTAGTCCACACAGAACCTTGTACAACTGCCTTCTCCCCAATATCTATCAGGATCATGTACCAGATATTATACAGAAGTATCAGTTTAGTTCATTCTGGAATATTTCAGATGAGCTTCACATGAGAAGAGATGCCTGTCATCCATTTTTTCTGGGACAGACAACAAAATTTGATTGTTCATGTTCTGAGGTGAAATCCAAATCAAAAAATTTGGACCTTGAAAGCATTCACATTTTGTTAATTATTTTGAATTGATTGTTTCCATCATATCTCTGTATTTCCTGCTGCTAAATAAATAAACACTGCAAATAGATATGTCTCTTGTACTATTGGGAAAAAAAAACAAAGGACTAAGTACAATTTATAAAAAACTTCTGTAACACAGAAGAAAGTTGTTTCATTATTGGAACCATTTCTCTAAACGGTAGGAATTTGGCTGATACAACTGTTGGCGATGTCACAATAAATGTATTAAACCCACCAACCTAAACTACAGCTCTTCAGACAAAGGGCGATATAAATTGGCAAACAAAACTTATGTACCAAAATTATAATGCTCTGGAAAAAACAGAGTGGATCAGTGTCCTCAGGAACAGAAGGTTTTTAAAATGCATTGCTAGTGTTCTTACTTGTCAGGTACAGAAGTCAAAACCAGAGCTTTGGTGACTTCAGATACATCTTATTTTACTCACTGGCTTTTGTATATGCACCACGGTGAGATACCACGCAACAGTGAGATATCACACACATTTAAATATCAGCTAAAGAACTGAAGAATAAAATGCATCCTACATTGTCTACTGGATGAGTCTGTACAGCAGCAAATATAGAATAGTCCAATTATGTGATTCTTTGATTTTTCTCTTGTTAAACACGGATTTTACTAGAGCTGTGTGTTAACAGGTTGCATGTGAAAGTGGTTGTGGGTTTTTTCTTTTCTCTGTTTTACTTATATATTCTTTCTTAACTATGAATCTCTTACCACAAAGTAGACCTGAGATTTATGCCTCCTGGCCAGGTCAATAATGTTCACTCCATTATAATGAATATTTTCAAAACACCCATGGAAGTTCTTGTGTGACAATGTCCCTGATTTTCCAGGCACTGGGATCCCTCCAAAGCTGAGCTTAGAAAGAGAAGAGAAATCAATGATACTGTTAAGTAATTTTCTAAGGAAAGAAGTTGCCAACAGTGTAGAGCAGAAGTCAAAGACTGGTCAATAATGAATCTGCTACTTCTTGGCTATTTCCTTGTACCACGTTTACTTATTAAAAACAGGATAACAAAAATTAAGTTATATCCAATCATATGTATAAATCTCATATGTTGGATTTTTTTTTTCTTCTGAGGATACCTCTTAACAGTTGCTTAATATAGAGTTTTAACAGTTTTCAGGGTCTGTTACAGCTGCAAAACCAAGAAGAAGGACAAGGCCTAGTACATGCAGACCATGCTGGACAGTATGAAAAGGGAGAAGAGAATTTGCTAACAACTTCTTTAGGAAATTTGAGTCTTACTTCCCCACTGTGTGCAAATCATAACTACCATAACAGAGAACAAGAGTGCATCAAATTAAATTATTCTAGGGGAGATTCTGAACAAATGAAAGGAGATAATTTTTCCCTCTCAAAGTGCTTAGGTTGTACAGTTACTTGATGTGATGCTGTAGGTTTACTCGGGTTCAGAAAGAGATTGGAAGACGTAATAAAAAATCCACTGAGAATATTACTCCGTCTTAATCAGTCCCTTAGGCAGAAACTGTTAGAAAGCAGTAGATTATTTTAGAAAAGCATTGCCACAAGGGTGATCTGATTTATACTCTGGTCTATGTTTCCACTCTTGGGCACCATCAGAAACAGGATGCCAGTTTAAGTGAACCTTAGAACTCACCCATTTCAAAGTTATTATGGTTGACATTGTAGAAAAGGTCAGTTTAAACTATTTCTCTTTTAGAAATTTTGCTTAATATTTAAAATAATTTAATAAAAAACAAAATTAAATATATCATGCTTCATTAAGTTATTAAATTGAGAAATTTTTATAGTCAGAAATGCAATTCTAAATACAGTGGTTCATAGGTTTTGGAAGTTTTTAGGCTTTTATCCAGCTTTTGCTTTCCTTTCTACCTTGTATTGGTAACACATACTTCAAACTACTGTATGTGGAACAGAGGCAAAATTAATTTGCAATATCCATTTATTTAATAAAACAAATCTATTTGCCAATTGGTTAAAACTAACTTTTAAAACTAGCCTTTTTTTCTCTCTTTTTTTTTTTTTAATTGGTACAATCCTGCAAGCCTTGACATTGTGGCTTAGATTCAGAAATTGTAAGCAGAATCATGACTTTAATTTTCTGAATTATATTTTTGAAATGGAATAATGCAAACACATAACAGTGTGAAAACTTACTTTAAACTGCTTAAAAACTCAAATGAGTAGAATAAAGTAATTTAGATCTGTGAGTTCCAGACACTCTGGTCTATCACTCATTGTCTCATCCAATGAACAGGACAGGAGCAAACATAAAGCAGCCAGTCATCACATTGCAATTGTGAAATAGTGGTGTTTTTAACCATAGGTGGGAAACTGTCACAGCAAATTACATCCACTCCTTTTCATGAATCTACTACTTGTGTAAGCAAGATTTTTTCACAGGACATTTGCTAGATTTTACAGGAATTTAAGTCTTAATCTAAACATTTCTAAAATGGTTTTATGCTGATTTAGTGTAATTGTAAAAAAGCCGTAAAATAACAACTTTGACTTGCGGTTCATTCCTTATGTTTACATACTGTTTACCATATTTGCAGCAGTACTGAAACAAAGATATTAAGATAATGAATTCTGAGATTAAAAAGATGTTTTTTGAAAATTTTGAGTTGAAAGTCTAGTAGAGCATTAGTCATCTAAGAACATCTCTTTTGCTTTGATCATTCCTTTAGGAGACAGAAAATCCCTAAAGTCTTAGGCATTACAAACTTCTTCAAGTTCTGTCTCCTTTGCTTGTTTCAGTGCATTTACATAATAAATTTAATAAATGTAATAAAGGAAAGGTAATTTTCACACCTCATACTCAAGGTCCAAATAATTGAATTCTCCTTTTGCATGAAAATGTTGAGTGTGTTTATCCACTGTAAAGTTTACTTGATTGTTAAAGTACTCAATGACAACAGAATGCCAGTGTTGATCATCCAAAAGGCTGCCTAGTGTAATATTAATTTGGGCATTTGAAAGATGGGTTTTAGTATCACCTTGAAAGAAGAAAGATAAAAACAGTTAATTCCATATAAAAATATAGTTATTAAAATATATACTGCTAGTTTACCATACTCTATACATTAAAATCCACTTAATAAATTAAAAGAAGTTTTAGTCAAATAATACTTAATAACTATGTTAAACTTTATGAGACTGTAGCTGTTACCTAAATTAATGAGTAGGGACAGCTTCCCTTTAATCAATTCCAGGGTGATGTGGTCTCCATTTTGTCCTTCTTTGTGGAGGAGAATTCCATCACTTTGCATTGTCTTAAACTTCAGAGAAATCACATCTTTCGGTGCATTCATGAGTTTTTGATTAAATATGTAAATTAGACAACTTTTCCCATCAAAACCAAGCACCTCAGACCCTAGAAGTAAAGACATGAAAAATAATGTATAATGCTTTGTCTAAAGGAGACAATTGCATGTTACTTCAATATGATATGAAGTCCCACCATTAACATCCCTAGATTCACCTGTGCCCAGTAAAATGTAACTTATTTCTGTTATTCCCATTCTTCCCCAAATATTAAGACTGTCCTGTTTTAATGATGATATGATCACTAGATAATAAAGCAAGGTGAGCAGAAAAGATCTGGCTTCTATTTCAATCTAGTACTAATCTGACATGCTGAAAGGTCTTCTTTGCCCTGGAACCATGAAGTACTTTGACCATTTCTGTTCATACTGTATTCTTAGGGTGAAATTCTCTATTAATTTACCTACAGTTAATTCCAATTAATGAACTAAAGATCAGAAAAGTAATATCCATTACATTTAACTGATTTTCAGAATCTTCATGCAAGCTGTAGATTTAAGCCACTATTAAAATCAATCTAGGTGTCTGTAGTAGTAATCAGTAATTCAAAGTTATATCATAGCATAGTATTCTAGGAAACAAACAAAAATATTCTAAAATGAAAATTTGTCAGTTGTGAGTAGGTCCTGGCTCTCTTAATCAGATTTTTTTTTACTGTATTCATAAACAAACTGCAACTTTAATTCAGTTGAATTACAGTTTTCATACTGGAATACAGGACTTTGTATCATCAATTTTCCAGTATGGGTATCACAGAATCACAGAATGGTTGAAGTTGCCATGCATCTCTGGATCTTATCCTGTCCCCATGTAAAGTAGGGACAGCTCCAGAAGGTTTCTTAGGTCCATGTCCAGTCAGGTTCTGAGTATTGCCAGGGACAGAGACTACACCTCTCTGGGCAGCCCATGCCAGTGTTTGACCGTCCTCACAGTAAAAAACTATATTTAAGTTCATGTCCATTGCCTCTTGTCCTGTCACTTGGCACCACTGAACAGACCCTGGCTCCATCTTCTTCTCACCTTCCCATCAGGTATTAATACACATGGGTAAGATTCCCCCTGAGCCTTCTACTCTCCAGTCCCAGTTCTCTCAAGCTCTACTCATATGGCAGATGTGCCACTCCCTCAGTCATATTCATGCCCTTTTGCTGGATTTGTGTCTGTATGTCCATGTATTTCTTGCAGGACCCCAGAACTGGACTGAACATTTCAGACATGTCTCATTCCCACAGTTGACGAGAAGGGAAGGATAACCTTCCTCAACCCACTAGCAACACTCTTCTTAAACCAGCTCAGGATGCTGCTGGCCTTTTGTGTTACAAGGGCCAATTTCCAGATCATGGTCAACTTGGTAAGTACCAGAAGCCTCATGTCTTTTTCTTCAAAACCACAGTTAGCCCCCAGTGTGTACTGGTAAACCCTTGCTAGCATTACTTCACAGGTGTAAGAACTTCCACTTCCCTTTGTTGAAGTTCCCCTGTGTTGTGTACATTAGCACACAGGCACTTCAGAAGGTCATCCACTTGTGTTGATTTCTCAGAAAAAGTGTCAGAACTTCCTCCATCATGTTGCCCTCACAACAGTACTTCCCTATTTCTATGTTTGCACTTGAGATATCAAATGTGTGTGCTTCAGCTCTGGTTTGTTTTTTTCATGATCTCTTTTGTCAACACTGCCCTGAAGCCTTTGTTTTTCAAACCAGTTCACCACTTCTTCACTTGATTTTGGGCTATTCTCTCCCTCTCCCATCATTCTTAGTTTAGAAATCTCCTCACCAGGTTGGCCAGCCTGTTGGAAAAGATGCATTTGCCCTACATGGTCAGATGGATTCCCTCCTCCTAGCAACTTTTCATCCTCAGAGAGTGTCTAAGGTTGTTAAATATGAGTAATTGCTGCTAATGCCAGCCATGCAACTGGGCCATGATATCATTGCAATCATGGAGATGTGTTGGGATATCTTGCATGACTGAGACGTTGTCATGGATGGCTACGTCTTGTTTAGGAAAGATAGGCCAGGAAGGCAAGGTGGTGGTGTTGCTCTTCATGTACATAAACAGCTGGAATGTATTGGGCTCTGCCTGGGGGGGGAATAAGTACCTGCTGAAAGTTTATGGGTAAGAATCTAGGGGCAGGCTAATATGGCCAGTATTGTTGTGGGTGTTTGCTATAGACCACCAGACCAGGAAAAAGAAGTAGGTGAAGCCTTCTATAGATATATATTAGGTACTATTTTATATATGTATGTAATATATAATATTATATACATTATATGTACCATATAACCAGACACAGTCAGGGGAAGCTGTGTCACATAGTCATACACATTCTCCACACAAACTCTACATACAGGTGACCATTAACAGTATAACCTCAGATAGCAATTGGCAATTGCTAGAGTAACACAAGTGATGAGGAGGCAAACAAAACATATGTCAGTTAAAAATAGATAGGAAGAAAAAAATTACTATGATCAATTTTCAATCACCCAGATATTTGTTGGAAAGGCCACACAGCTAGGCACACACAATCCAGAAGGTTCCTGTGGTGCATTGATGACAACTTTCTGACACAGGTGGTGGAGGAGCCAACGAGGAGAGGTGTGCTGCTGGACCTTGTATTAACAAACAAGGAAGGACTGGTTGGGGACGTAAAGGTTGGGGGTAGCCTTGGCTGTAGTGATCACGACATGGTGGAGTTCAGTATCGTACGAGGAAGAAGCAGGGCGATAAGTAAGATTGCAACCCTGGACTTCAGGAGGCCTAACTTTGTCCTCTTGAAAGACTTACTTGGAGGTATCCCATGGGATAGGACTCTAGAAGGTAGGGGAGCCCAAGAGACTTGGTCAATATTTAAGCACCACTTCCTCACAGCACAAGATGGGTGCATCTGGAGGTATCCCATGGGATAGGACTCTAGAAGATAGGGAAGCCCAAGAGAGTTCATCAATATTCAAGCACCACTTCTCAAAGCTCAAGATGGGTGCATTCCTTTAAGTAAGACATCAAGTAGAGGAGACAGGAGACCCCTAGAAAGGAGTTTACAGCAGGTGGAAAAAGGGAATGGTCGTTTGGGAGGCCTATAGAAGTGTTGTCAGGATATGCAGGGATGCAACAAGGAAGGCCAAGGCCCTCTTGGAACTAAATCTGGCGAAGGAAGTAAAAGAGAACAAGAAGGGCTTCTTCAAGTATATCAGCGGTAAAAGGAAGACTAGGGGAAATGTGGGACCTTTGGTGAATGGAGTGGGAGCCCTGGTGACAGAGAAGGCAGAGAAAGCGGAGTTAATGAATGTCTTTTTCACTTCAGTCTTTACTGCTAAGACTACTCCTCAGGAATCCCAGACCCTGGAGATAAGTGAAAAACCCTGGAGGAGGAGGGAGGAAGACTCTCCACTGGTCAATGAGATCTGGGTTAGAGATCCTTTGGCTGAACCGAACACTCACAAATCCATGGGCCCTGACGGGATGCACTGGCGAGTGCTGAAGGAGCTGGCTGGTGTTGTTGCAACATCTCTCCCCATCATTTTTGAAAATTCATGGAGAATGGTGAGTGCTGAGGGAGATGACTGGGGTTGTTGCAACACCTCTCCCCATCATTTTTGAAAAATTGTGGAGAACGGGAGAGATGCCTGAGGACTGGAGGAAAGCCAATGTCACCTCAGTCCTCAAGAAGGACAAGAAGGAAGACCTGGGACATTATAGAACGCTCAGCCTCACCTCCATCCTTGGGAAGGTGATGGAACAGCTCCTTCTGGAGGCCATCTCTAGGCACGTGGATGAAACAAAAGTTATCAGGAGTAGTCAGCATAGATTCACCAAGGGGAGATCGTGCTTGACCAACCTCATAGACTTCTATGATGGAGTGACTAGCTGGGTAGATGAAGGGAGAGCAGTGGATGTGGTTTACCTTGACTTCAGTAAGGGTTTTGACACTGTCTCC